ACTTCTATTAATTAACTAAAAATAAATAATGCAATCGATTGCTAGAGCAAAATAACTGTCATCGACAATCCAACCTGAGATTGCAATATGGTAAAACGCCTGGTCTCCATTGAAATTCACATCTACCCAAGGGCATTCCGGGAAGTGTGGCGTACTGGTCGGCGTGTTGAAATTATACTATGCATTGTCATGTTGATAAATCTTCAGCGAGGTCGAACCGGCAGTCCATCCTGAATGAGAACACCTTTTACGAAAGTGAGGCTATGTGAAATTCGATAGAAACGTCTTGTCTATTCATATCATTGTGGGAAAATTCAGCTACCTGTCCTGTCTTCACTCTAGATGAATTAGAATGAATAAATACCATATAAAGTTTTTTTTTCTGAGCTACCGACCCGTGAGTGTTTTTGGCTACATGCAAACCATAAAAAATTGCGTTTTCGTTATAATGTACTAAACTTAAGTATGGTAAAATTCAGTTTTTTTCAATACATAATCAATACCCTGAAATAAAAGTACGCATCTCGATTTAGAAATGGTTATAAATTAATATGAGAAACAATGTTATAATTTCTTTCGATCGCATAAGGTGATGAAGGACTTATCGCTGAATTTTCCAACAATTATATGAATTGACCTCACGTTTTCATTGAGTTTCATCCGGTCTTTTCACCTAATGGTATTATCATTTATCGTCAGCGCCGACAGAGAGACTCGAGTCTGAATAAGGCGACTTATAATCTCGAAATGCTACCACTATACCGCTACCACGAGTGCCCCTGGGTAACGGGGCAGATTTGAAGATGAGGGAAATTCAGGCTTTACTATAAAACATTTGTTGTGCCATTACTTTTAACTAAGTTACCTATATTCATATAAAGTTGGCTTCGATGCCATTATTGAATCTTGAATGTGGATTGATGGCCAAATTTCCCCTAACTCCATCCTTCATTGCTTTATCCGACCTACTGTGACCTGCTATTATTATCTGGTTCTTTTATCTGCTCTTATATTAATTCTTGTTTATTATCTTATTTTTATCTATTGAAAGCTCCAAATCAAATTGATTTCTTGCATAATACATGTATCTATGAAAATTTAACCTGAGCATTAATCCCTGCACATTCTATTACTTCTAACCGATTATTCGTTAGGTTTAGTCGACATGTGGTTCGGAATATTTCTGTTAAGACTCCTCGCCGTCCTCTCGCCCTTTCAATGAGTGGTCTTGCAGCAAACTCATCCGGTGTTCCAGTTTGCTCCAATCTCCCCACCTCAAATGGTAACGCAGGAAATCAGGCTTCTGGAGCAAGCAGTACATCAGGACAAAATGGAGGTGGCGGGAATCCTATTAAGCGCGTAATGACTGGGGGATTATTGCTTAATCTGGTTCACTCAGCCACTTCGTCAGCTGGTCACTCACTGCGTGATCGAGGCGGTGAAACAGTCAAAGACAAACCACCATGTGATTCTTCCGACGCAGTTCCCGCTGCTTGTGTCAAAGCCAATCTGTCTTTCCCGCCGAAGATAGAGCAGGAGGACTCGGTCAAAGCGGATTCTGGACCCGGTCTAATTTACTCGGAACAAAGCTGCAAGATTGTCATTGAATCCGCTACTTCTCCTGTTTCATCTGTTAGCTTCTCTGGCTCTGCTTCCAATAATCAGACTGATTTACCCCCTCAGCAATTGGTACCTCCTACCACACCCAGGAGGTCTGTACTTGGTAGCTTATTGCTCGGAAATGTAAGTTTACGCTACCTTATCTTAATGGAATTAATAATTTATATTTTCCTTTTCATTGTCTTATGTTATATATATTTATATATATTGCAGCTTAAGATAATAGGATACCCTAATAAACAGTGTTGCCTTTAAGACTGCTGTACTTCTGATATTGGTCTCTAACTATATGCATTCTTTTTAATTAATATATAAGGAATAATTAAGACAGTATGCTACTAGCCATATTAACTGTATTAGGCTTGTATATACTGATCGATCTGTGATATTTGAGCGTAATAAAAAAGGCAGTAAACCAATTTTGTTTGACACTTACTTTTAGAGCCTTGTTACTATAAAAAACCTTTAATTAACTTATTTGGCTATATTTGCATTTCTTGTGGTCAGGATAACTTTGATCCAGTTATCTTCGGTGAATTAATCCAGATATACAAGCCTACATGCTTTCAACCATGAAATCTTTACCTATATGATAGGGTATTATCTATTTGGGGCATTTCAACATCTATTATGATCATATGAAAAACATCTTTCTGGTCCCCAATATTATTATATTCTATCGTTTACTTTGCTTAGCCTTAATTTAATCGTCACAAGTTAAGTCAAAAGTATTTGCGATTTCATTTGACGGGCAATTCTATTTTCTCACATAACTATATAGGTAAAATTAAACGACGCTCAATTCTTTACGGATTTCACTACCATCGTTTCTGCTACCATCTGAAAACTTTTTAATCAGAGCATTGATGTGACTAACTTAATAGTATTTTTGTGATCTATATTTTTTAATTAGTAAATTGAATAATTTGGAAGATATGAAGACCAATATGGTGTAACCCTGGGCATGGCGCAGTCTCCTTTCGATATTTAAAGGTTTTCGATAATTGGTCTGGTTTTCACGGCGACTTGGACTCATTTTGTCCGAAGTTCTATTCTATAGAGGTTATTATAATTCCCAGCGTCAGATCGTGAACTTGGTACATTGAATATTGCCTAGCCTTGCATCCCAAAAGATAACCTCACCCAGGATGAACTGCAGCTTTGATCTCATATTGGGCTTTGCACCTCTAACAGTCGAATCTGCTTAGTTAAGCATATAATATCATTGTTACTACTACTGCAACGCTACCACGGTGGCCATTTGTCACTGGGTATACTCGGATTTCAAGGCCATTTTGCCCTCTTCTATATCAAGGACCTATACTCAATCAGAGGACAAGGGATCGCAAAAGTGTGAAAATTTTTGCAAACAGGCGATGACGTTCTCGGTATATTAAGTTTGCTCGATGTAACCAACACAACTTTAGGGACATGGCGGTCGCGGAACTAGGGAGAGGGATAATCACAACCATCGCAGTAATTCGGCGTTATGGCCAAAATGTACTAGAAATCCACTCGAGATACAGCAGGCGATCAGGGATAAGCGCCCACATTTTGCCCAGGTAACACGACCCGGGAAGACTATGCCTAAGATCTGCAAGCATCAGAATCAGAGCCTGGGCGCTCTGCTCGGTGAGGCGGCAGCGTTTGTGCTTCTATGGATCTACGGGAACGCGACCATGATATTGCTATTGCCTGATCTCCGAGTTTGCTTGGGCAGTATGCAATGTTTTTGCTTATCCTGCTTTCTTCAAGTCTCCTATTCATTAGATTTCTTCTAGTCAGGATATAGATGTCTTTTAATATTTTACGTTTTCTTGCATTTTTACCATATAAAGTCAGCCTTTCCATCGATTTATACTTGATTTCGTGTCCCTTCCGTACAATATTTTCCACTATTTAAGATCTTTCTGTTTCCATGTTTCTGCATAGTCTTTAATGCTCCTTGATTTGTAGTCTGATTTTCCTTCCTGTTTCATCAATATACTTCTGCTCACAGTTGTCGCATTTGATGCTATCGACTCCTGAGCAATCCACTTAGTCAACCTTCTCGTGCTGCATTAGCAGACTTGTGAATAGTGTCGTCTTTCCTTTTATTATCACTGTCATATTCCATTTTATTAGCACCGGTTGAAATTTTTGGCTCAGTTTACAGGATGGCAAGTATATCCACTTTTGCTCGTCCATCAAGTTGGTTTATAAAAGCGATGTAGTGAAATCTCTGAAGCAGGCAGATAAGGGAAGGAGGGGGACTTGTATAGGAACCTAAGAGAGAGGATTGCAGATTCAGCCGCAGCCTTGAATCAGCACTCCTGGCACAGTAGGAGGGATGTGGAAGACATTGGGGAGTATAAATTGGTTCTAAATAAGTTTAGCT